TTCAAGAATGCTTTTTCATTTTTTTAAATTCATTTGAAGCCTTAGGTATCTAAAATTCAGTGGAGGTGCCTACTATTATTGCATTGATTAAAACTTTTTCGAAATCGCATTATTAAAAAATTTATAAATATGAATTTAAGTAGCAATAAAACTAGAAATATCCCAGAGCCAACATTTTCTTAAAAGCAAATAGATATTTTGCATCAAATGTTTGTTTTTACAAAGAAAGCAACAGAGAAGAAAATGAAAGTAAACAAACAAAAATACTAATAAAACATGCGTTTCCACAATAAAAGTAGGATCAAATTTGATGCTCAACTCGTTCAGACGACGTTCATGAAAGACGGGGTTCCGATAGGTTGAAGGCGAGTTCAATTCACGTCACGTGCTACTTATCAGCTGCATGTTTTAGCGTTCTGAAGAGTTTATTGACTCGAAATGTAGTAAAAAGCCACAATAAGAGGAAGAAGTATACTTTTGTTCTTTTTTTTTCTATTTTGTTTGTTTTTAAGTTTCAGAAATAAACCATACTTTTATTTTAAATAAATAATTCTGCCACACTTCAAAAAAGAGAACACTATACTAAGCAAGTAAAACTTTTTGTACTTATAAGGATGCGGGAGAAATACCTCCCACATTTTAAACTGTCATCTATGACAATAGTGTCTACATCTACCTAATGCTTTACCGGGTTTTTTTATCAGTTACCATCATGGCTTGGGCCGGTACACACCGTACTTTTTCTGTTGAAACGTGTTTGTTTGTTTTTTTTAACATTGGTGAATCTGTAATTCCAATACAGAGAGCTCTTCATGTTTATTTCATGTTACATCGGAATGATACTGTTCCGGAATGAAAATCGATGCTACTATGGTGTGAAATTTTCAGGGCCACTGGTTCAATACTTATAAGGAAAGCCACATGGAAGATCTAAAAGCGCTCGAACTTCCGAATGATGGAATAGTCTAGAAATCTTCTACATAGTGTATGATGAATAGAGACAACCATTTAGAGGATGTCATATTTAAAACCAAACAAATCAATTGATTAGCCCTTTGTTTAAACAAAAGCTAAATTTACTTTGGTCCTTTTGACAACTTTTAGAACGTGAGATTTATTTCTGGTGGACCCTGTACGCGAGAAGCTTTATACAAAACAATTTTGGATTTTATTTTCTAATTTCATATATTACGCTGGTGATCCGGCATCATCAGAAAAACAACATATTCATAAGAATTAAATTTACACAAACGAGACGAAGCGGGATTCACGCTAAGCCATTGAACGTGTAATTTTTACATGAAAGATTCCGTTATAGAAACTGAATTTTAACTCATTTCAATGCCTGTTTTTTGTCTTTTCATAACTTACGTATCCACCATTTTTTTTTTTTTTTTTGGTACTATTTCATAGGAACAGAGAACAAATTGAAATAGACCGGTCTTTTATTAATTGTAAATGCTTCGTGAATCGTGGTTCTTTCAATGCATTTCGTCTGAGGAAATTAGGTTGTCGTGGCATAACAGTGCATCAAGTGTGTTGTTTAATTTTAAATCTCTTTTATGTTAGCAAATTCTCTTCTTTAAATTTCGGAATGTTTTGACTGGGTTTTGGAGAGTATCATTTACATTCTAAATGGGTAGACGCCTGTATCTCACGCGAAGTTAGTTCGCTGGTACAAGGATTTTAATTTTAACTGTTTTTGAATAAATTTTATGTTACGAGAAGCTTTCTAGTTCATTAATTATCGAGATTATAGATGACATAACAGGTTAATTCGACATTCCATTAATTTTTTATAAAACTTTACTGATAGATAAATAGATAGATAGATAGATAGTGAATGAGAGACAAACAGATGCATAAATAGAGAGAGAGACTGAACTGACTGGTATAGACTGATAGACAAGAACAGACGATAGATAATGAGACACACATACAGATGTATTAGAATGAGACAGTCAGACAGATGTAGAAAATGAGACACACAGACAGAAATGGATAGATAGACATAGATAAATAGATATAAAAAGATAGACAGCTATACATACATAAATATAAACAGATAGCTCGCTAGACATAGATGTATAAATATAAACAGATAGATATAGATACAAAGATATAAACAGATAGATCGACAGATATATTTAAACAGACAGATCGATATTTACACACACACACACATATATATATATATATATATATATACAGACAGATTAAAATAAGATCCATTGTTCGAGTTTTTTGGCTTAAACCAACTGCACAGTTTTCAAATACAGACAATGTAAAAAATGAAATAAGAAAAGTGTCGAAACTATTATCTTCATTTTTTCCTCTCTGTGTTCAGAGTCAAGATTTCAAAAGTGGTCTTTTGTTAATATGGAGTCTGTCCCGATTTTCGGATGGCGCCAGAACCGCTAATAAGTGTTTGATGTTATTGAGAGGAAATTATTAACAGTAATGATAACAACTCGTCTAAGATCCTATCAGTTGCCTCTAT